CTCCCTCCCTCCCTCCCTCCCTCCCTCCCTCCCTCCCTCCCTCCCTCCCTCCCTCCCTCCCTCCCTCCCTCCCTCCCTCCCTCCCTCCCTCCCTCCCTCCCTCCCTCCCTCCCTCCCTCCCTCCCTCCCTCCCTCCCTCCCTCCCTCCCTCCCTCCCTCCCTCCCTCCCTCCCTCCCTCCCTCCCCTCCCTCCCTCCCTCCCTCCCTCCTCCCTCCCTCCCTCCCTCCCTCCCTCCCCCTCCCTCCCTCCCTCCCTCCCTCCCTCCCTCCCTCCCTCCCCTCCCTCCCTCCCTCCCTCCCTCCCTCCTACCTCCCTCCCTCCCTCCCTCCCTCCCTCCCTCCTCCCTCCTCCCTCCCTCCCTCCCTCCCTCCCTCCTCCTCCCTCCCTCCCTCCCTCCCTCCCTCCCTCCCTCCCTCCCTCCCTCCCTCCTCCCTCCCTCCCTCCCTCCCTCCCTCCCTCCCTCCCTCCCCTCCCTCCCTCCCTCCTCCTCCTCCCTCCCTCCCTCCCTCCCTCCTCCCTCCCTCCCTCCCTCCCTCCCTCCCTCCCTCCCTCCCTCCCTCCCTCCCTCCCTCCCTCCCTCCCTCCCTCCCTCCCTCCCTCCCTCCCTCCCTCCCTCCCTCCCTCCCTCCCTCCCTCCCTCCCTCCCTCCCTCCCTCCCTCCCTCCCTCCTCCCTCCCTCCCTCCCTCCCTCCCTCCCTCCCTCCCTCCTCCCTCCCTCCCTCCCTCCCTCCTCCCTCCCTCCCTCCCTCCCTCCCTCCCTCCCTCCCTCCCTCCCTCCCTCCCTCCCTCCCTCCCTCCCTCCCTCCCTCCCTCCCTCCCTCCCTCCCTCCCTCCCTCCCTCTCCCTCCTCCCTCCCTCCCTCCCTCCTCCCTCCCTCCCTCCCCTCCCTCCCTCCCTCCCTCCCTCCCTCCCTCCCTCCCTCCCTCCTCCCTCCCTCCCTCCCTCCCTCCCTCCCTCCCTCCCTCCCTCCCTCCCTCCCTCCCTCCCTCCCTCCCTCCCTCCCTCCCTCCCTCCCTCCCTCCCTCCCTCCCTCCCTCCCTCCCTCCCTCCCTCCCTCCCTCCCTCCCTCCCTCCCTCCCTCCCTCCCTCCCTCCCTCCCTCCCTCCCTCCCTCCCTCCCTCCCTCCCTCCCTCCCTCCCTCCCTCCCTCCCTCCCTCCCTCCCTCCCTCCCTCCCTCCCTCCCTCCCTCCCTCCTCCTCCCTCCCTCCCTCCTCCCTCCCTCCCTCCCTCCCTCCCTCCCTCCCTCCCTCCCTCCCTCCCTCCCTCCCTCCCTCCCTCCCTCCCTCCCTCCCTCCCTCCCTCCCTCCCTCCCCTCTTCCCCTGCCCTCTTCTCCTTCTTTTTTCTCCCTGTTTCCTTCTTCTTCTCCTCTCCGTCTCCGTCGTTTCCTTCCTTTTTCGTTTTTTCCTCCTTCCTTTCCTTTCTTCTCCTCCTTTTCCTCTGTGCCCCCTCCTCCTACGTATCCGTTTTATAATGAATTAATATATTTCGAGAGTCGAATTATATATTTTTAATAATATCAAAGTGTTCAAAAATTATATTTGACTTTTATTTTAATTATTTTAGCAAAGAGTTCCGAAATCTCTTACACACATAATAGGGATTTTGTTCATCCATATAATTCGCAATTAGTATATATGTTAATTATTAATTTTAATAAAATACAAAATTAAAATTAAAGGTCAAATATAATTTTTGAACATAAATATATTTAATTCGTTATAAAACGTATACCCGTGATAGTATTTTTCTCGTACAAAAATACTAGAACAAATTAAATTACTCATAAAAAAATAAAAAAATAATTAAATAATTTATATATATATGATAATAATAAAACATTTTATAAAAAAAACAGATTCAATAAATATAAGTATATATATAACATGTACTTATATTTATTGAATCTGTTTTTTAATAAAATGTTTTATAAGCTTAGAAAACTTGACTTTGACGTAACTAGCAAATTTTATTTAATTATTTCACGACGGTTTGACGTAATAAAATGTTTTATTATTATTATATAAAATATAAGTTTAAATTCTTTAATTAATTTTTAATCTTTTATGATTAATTTAATTTACTCTAATTATTTTTGTACGAGAAAAATACTATCATGGGTATACGTTTTATAATTAATTTAATATATTTGTGTTTAAAAATTATATTTGACCTTTAATTTTAATTTTTATTTTATTAAAATTAATAATTAACATATATACTTAATTGCGAATTATATGGATGAAAAAAATCCCCATTATGTGTGTAAGAGATTTCGGAACTCTTTGCTATAAAATAATTAAAATTAAAAGTCAAATATAATTTTTGAACACTTTTATATTATTAAGAATATATAATTCGGTTCCCGAAATATATTAATTCATTATAAAACGTATACGTGATATTATTTTTCTCATATAAAAATGACTAGAATAAATTAAATTAATTATTAAAAAACTAAAAAGTAATTAAACGACTTAGACTTAGATGATAATAATAATGAAACATTTTATTAAAAAAAGATTCAATAACTAGTAGGTCAGGTTATAATTTTTTATTTATTTATTTATAACATTATGAGCTATTAAGCTCATCATCTCGTTCGCTCTCTGTCTTGCTTTCATTCGGCAAGTCACAAACGATATATGATACTCGTATGTTCCTACTTCAACTCTCGAGAATCTGAAACAAACGAAACTCGTGTCCAATATACAGGGTGTCCGGTAACTAACGGACCAACGATTACAAATGAACTCTTTGGTCAATTTGGGAACGATTTTTCCTCAGCGAAAATGTCGAAAAAGGTCATCATTTTTTACAACTTTCCAATCTTTGTCATTATGTATCTTTATAACTAAGCCTTAAATTAAAATTGTATTATAGTAAACTCTACCTGAAATTAACTGAAGAATGTAATTATGTTAGACTTTTAACTCCAAAACGTTTAGTTTTCAAAAAACCTATTTTTTTCAATCGCTTATAACTCGAAAATTATTGACTTCTCAACATTTTTGCTAAGGAAAAATCGTCTCCAAATTGGCCAGAGAATCCGCCCTTAATCATTGGTCCGTTAGTTACCGGACACCTTGTATATATTATATAAAAGTGTATAGCACGTCAGAAGCTTGTGAGCTTACAGCGATAAGTAAAAACAATTGCGTATTTATTTCATTGCGTTTATCTGTTTAAACGCGCGCTTTAATTTTTCCAACGTTTTTGCCTGTTTATATTTTAAAGGTCCTCTCTTCTAAAAATCTTGTTTTAAAGATCCTCTCCGCGAGCAAAATTCGAAAACATAAATTATTTAATATTTTTACTTTATTATTTGTAAATCCTCGGTAATTTCAAAATTTTTCTATTTGAAAATTATTAATTTTCTATTGCCAATTAATTTTATCACAGACTTTACTCTTACTCTCATTGCACTTTCGTTTGCGGTTTTCAGTATACGATTTTTTATCGTAGTTACTGAAAATTATTATTGTGAATTATACTTGTGCAGTGATTTGAAGAATTTACAATTTCGTTGAAATTGTTGATTTTTCAAAAAATTACGAGATTCGCGGAAATTGCGTGCTTTCTTGGCATTTTCCGTTCGCGGCAGGCGGTTTTTTTGATTGTTGCAAGTGTTTTTTTTTTTTTTTTTATTAAATAGATAATAATAATGTGAAATAAATCACGATATTTGACAGATGTGCATATATATAGAAATTGTAATAATAATAATATTATATCATAAAATTGTAAATTGTTTCAATTTTTTATAGACTGCGATAAAAGATTTTACATTTGGATAAGAAACTGCGGTAAGTAAAAATATAAATTCTTGAAAACGTACCAAAAATATTTGATAACGTAAAAAGGTGAACTTTGAAAAATAAGGAACTTAAAAATTGCACTAATAAATGGGCTATATGTGAGCCGTGCGCGGATGTAAGGTGTGTTATATCGAAATTTAATTAATAGAATTGAGAATTAATCCCAATTTTAAGTCTTACAAATGTCCAAGCTAATTTTTTGTACCTCGTGTACATTTTTGAAAGTTATATCGAAAAATTAAATTTCAATATGCGTCTTACATCTCACATTTCGCATACGGCTCACATATAGCCTATTTATCTCTTATACTTTATTTCAACCCTTATAGAAATTTATTACTAGTAACGCCAATTTATCACTTATTTCGAGTAATTAATCACTTTTATTTCGAATACTTAAATTACTGTATATTATAGTATTTTAAATACTCAAAATAAGTGATTAATTGGCGTAGTGATAAATTTCTACAAGAGAATAAGGAGCCTTTAAATTCTTAATGTAAAAAATTTCAAGTAATTTTCTTTAATAAAATTTAATTAAAAAATTTAATTAAAAAATTTTTGAACACTGTGTTATATCACATTTAAAATCGTGATTATTTCAATAAAAAACATTTTATGTGTAAAAAATATATTTTTTATATTTAATAAATTTTATATATATATATGCATATATGTAAAATATTCTCTCTCTCTCTCTCTCTCTCTCTCTCTCTCACACACACACACACACACACACACAACGGGGGCCAAATCTCTCAAATTGGTCTCATGATCAATTAGCCTGGATTCGCACCAGGGGCAAAGTCTTTTGGTCGAGTCTACGAAATTTAGCACGGACTCGAACCAGGGGCAAAGTCTTTTGGTTCAAGTCTACGAAATTTAGCACGGACTCGAACCAGGGGCAAAGTGTGTCGGTAAGGGGCAAAGTCTATCGCACGAAGATGGCGGTCTCTTCTTTAGGCAGGCCTTTGGCGATCTGTCTATTAATCTGTGTCATTGTCATGTCGCATTGTGCTCATACCCTTATAATGCGCGCATATGCGTGAAACGGAACGCACCTCTAGAGCAGCTGTATTGTTGGAATATTGGCCGTTTCACGCGATTGCGTATAGTTGCCACAAATCAAAGAAGAAGGTTGCTGGAAGACACAAATATTTAAATGTGTCTCCGCACGGTTATTAGTTTTGGATTCTACTTTTTGACTGCAATTAGATCAAGAATAATTGGAATTTAAGAAAACCAAAAAACAACTTTTTGATACAACAACGGCACATTAATAAGAATCCTTATAAAAAAAATACCACGCTAACAAAAGCAATCAGTACAGAACGACGAAAGAATGTTTATAGTGACGAAAGAAATCGACAGTGAGAATATAAGTAAACTGTGTCGCACATGTTTGAGAGAAGACGGCGACAAAATGATATGCTTATTCGTAGGTCCGGCTGGTTCGTCGCTCGCCGCTAAATTACGATCGCTTTCTTGCTTAGAGGTGAGAGATACATAATATTTTTTGTCTCTTTAAGTAATCTTTTAAGTATACGTAACAATTTGTATGTATGTTTTTTGGGATACTTTTGTTAGGTCTGGCAAGGAGATGGTTTGCCTGAGAAGATGTGCGATCGTTGCGTCACCAGAGCAGAGTCGGCTCTTTTATACAGAGAGCAGTGTCGTGCAGCAGACAGGGCTTTGCGACAAGCAGCATTGAAGGTACTAGTCATAATATACAAATATAAATTGTAATATACAAGGTATCCCATAACGTGATGTCCATACTGAAACTATGTATTCTTGGTGTCATTCTAACAAGGGAAGGTCAGCTGATTCACTGTTTTCGATTCAAAACTTATGCAGAAATGTTATGGGTGATGGCAATAATATATTCTACAGCCTCTATTTTTGTGTTAAAAATGGTATAATAATTTTCTCGTCTATACAGTGATGGCAAAAATTCCATAACAGTCAAATATTTTGAAAAATAATGACCATGAAAGAAAATGTTAAATACAAAAGTTTCAGAAAATCAAATGGTCTATTATGTGGTTATAGTGATATGACTTTTATGTGATCTTGAAGGACACTGTAAGGGTCAATTTTGTAATCTTAAATGGAAACCCCCATTTTTTATTACATAATCGTGCAACTTACCTTGATAGCTTTTCAAAACACTACAATAAAGTATTTTTTCAAACTTTTCTTATTTACACAATTTGATATAATAAAAATGGGATTTCCATTTAAGATTTTAAAGTTAACTTTCACTGTATTTAGTCTGTGGCTATTCTGCACAGGTTTTGAATCAAAAATTGTGAATCAGCTGAGGACAACAAAATTGCATAAAATAAGTATTATTTATTGAACGATAATATTAAATAATAATTAACTACTTTATAAATTGTGCGTAAGGTAAGTCAAAGGTGCTTTTCTCGTACGTGCGGTAAAGTAAGGCATATATTGAATGGTTGAGAAATAAGTCACTTTCTGCACATTAAACAGCAATTAAAAATGGAACTTTTGTGACTGACATTACAAAAACAATTGCTTTTGTTGTCATAGTAAAGAAATAAATAATAAATGAATAAATAAATAATAATTAAAATTATAAATAAATAAGTAAATAATACTTTTGCATTTTTTGCTATAACTTTAAAACAATCGACTTTAGGGCATATGTATATTCAGACTTTTTTACTTAGAATATGACACCAAGAATGCACAGTTTCAGTATGGATATTATGTTATGGGATATTATACATATATGGAATTATATAGTTTCAGAAATATGTATTATACATTTTTCTAGGGTTGATTTCTCACAATCAAAATAAAGAAGAAAAAAGTTTATATCAATGATAAAAATGAGTAGTTTTGAAGTTATAATATAAAACAAAGTTTATATTAATAACTAAAATTAGACGCTGCAAGGGCCGATCGCGGATGTATGTGCGTGAAGAACCGCGAAAATTTAATTATTTGCTGTTCTTATGAATGTGCACGAAGCAAATTCGAGGGAGATTCGCTTAGCATATGCTAAGATTTATTTAGGAATATCTCATATTCGAGATCTTAATTCCTAAGTTCTCCTTTTTACCCCCTTAAGTGATGTATGCGAGAAAAATATATCGGTTCGAAAAGTCGTTGAATCGTTCATAATGCCGAATATGAGATATTTCTAAATAAGTCTTAGTATATGCTAAGCGAATTTCGTGCCTCGTGCACATTCATAAGAACAGCGAATAATTGAATTTTTGCGGTTCTTTACGCACATACATCCGCGATCGGCTCTTACAGTCAGTCTAATTTTCAGTTATTTCAAAATATCGAGTCGTACTTTATTATTATTTATATTAATGTTATTATTAAATAATCATACATAATAATAAGCACTTATTATTTATAAGAAATGCCCAAAATAGCTGCCATTTCAAGACAGTCACCCAGATAGCCACAGTAATTATTATGACATCATTTTGATGTCAAAATGCATCATTTGCCTCAAAATGATGCATTTTGATGTCATAATAATTACTGTGGCTATCTGGGCATACTTTTATCTGAGAATATTTAAAACGTCTAGTATATATTCGTTGCCTAACAAAGAAATGCTACACCGATGCATTATTAATGTTTGTGAAATATCACAATATAACAATACGAAACGTATAATAATACTAAATCGTCTAGAAACCTTTATAAAATGGTTCAACAATGGTTGCTCCATTATATATATATATATATATATATATATATATATATATATATATATATAAGTGATTATATATATATATTAAGTGTTTACTTATTATATATATATTAAGTGTTTACTTATTATTTATATTAGTGTTTACTTATTATTTAATAATAATTTATTTAATAATAATATTATTTAAATTTTATTTTACTATAATTTTGTAACCATTTATTTTTTATTATAGGTATATATAAACTGTTTTTTATGTTGACGTAAAGAACTCTTATTAGAAGTTTATCCGTCTATTTCTGAAACGTCTTTATATAAATATATTTATGTATATAATTACAATCAAACATATTTAAATAGGTATCTGGATTAACGTCGTACACCACTATTTCTGGTTGCAAACTGTATCAAAATCAACAAACTCAAGGATTTATACCTGTGCAAAATTCTCACAAGACACTAAAGTGTATGGAATGTGGTGCTGTGTTTACCAATTATCAAGAACTCTGTGCACACAATCGACTGCATTTACCCTTTATACAAGATAACATACCTATGCAGCATATGCACATTGTAGAATCTCAAAATTCGTATCTCAATTTTACCCATGTCGGTACAAATTTTATCAATGATAATAATATAAATATGCAATTATCTCCATCAGTTAGATCAAATATGATGCATGCTATGTCGTTGAATGAACAAAACTCGAGTCGTGCTGCTTGTGCCTTGCATTGTTCCTTGTGCAATCATACATTCACTAATAGGAAACAATTAATAACTCATAATATAACGCATAGTACGGAGCGTGTCAATATATCGTGCGATAATGAAAATATAGAGATATGCGAAAATTCTAATCCCATTCCGCAAAATTTAAGTTATGAAAGATCTGTTCATTCCGTTGATAATCATATTCAAAATCTATCATATCAAAGATCTACTATGGATGATAATGATGGAATGCAAAATCTAAACTTTCCAGAAAACATCGATCTGGATGGCGTTCAGAGAATAGTTCGGAACGTGTACAAAATATAACAATACACTCTGAAAATAACGTTCAATCAATTACAGAAGGTTTAAGATTTATAAAGGCATCTGAAAAAGATAAGCAACTCATAATCGAGTATCACGGATGTTCAATTGATAATAGTTATAAACAATCTGACATAAAAAATACGGAAGATGGTCACGCGAAGAAGCACCAGTGCGAACTATGTTTAAAACAATTTTCACAAAAATCTAAATTACTCGCTCATCAATTGTCTCACTCTGGCCAACAACCGTTCAAGTGTCTAAGCTGTGGCAAAGCTTATGCATCAAAAAGCAAACTCAATGCGCACATGAGATTACACACAAAAACCAATGTGTATCAATGTAAGATATGCGATAAAATATTTTCATATCCGTCGTACTTAGAGGAACACATAAAAATACATAATAAAGGTGGCAGCAATAGACCACAGAGCAAGGAATTTGAATGTAGCGTTTGTAATAAACGTTTCCAACTCTTGAAGAATTTGAAAGCTCACGAAAGACTTCACACCGGAAAAGGTTTAATGCAATGTGAGATTTGTGATAAAAAATTTAGTCATAATTATAATTTAAAAATGCATCTACAAACACATAAGACAATGAAAGTACACAAGTGCGAATACTGTGACAAACGTTTTGTACAGAAAGGTAATTTAGTGGAACATTTACGGATCCATACTAAAATAAAGCCGTTCGTGTGTAAATTATGTGGCAAAAATTTGCGCAATCAAGTCATCTTAAAAGTCATGAAGCTTCGCACGGCGTTTTGCGACAGCATCAATGTCGATTATGCGGAAAGAGGTTCAAATTAGCTAATCACTTGAAACGACATTTAAATTTACATATTGGTCCAAAGATGTATAAATGCAATCAATGTAATCAAATGTTTTCACAATCTTTTAGTCTAACAAGACATTTAAAAAGGCACAATGAATCACATACGTAATTTAATTGCAATTTATGCATAAAAAAATAGTTTTTATATATATACATATAAAATAATAATAATAATAGTAATTGCACAGAGGGTGTTTCAGAAGGAATGATCAGGTTTTAGGACCATGATTGTATACATTATTTTAAGCAAAGAAGTTTATGTATAAACATGTCTGTAATTATGTATAAACATGTTCTATTCTGGATGATCGTTATAAAGATACAAGTGTTAAAGTTTAAGAAAAAATATATTCATTAATTTAATATAACCAAATGTTATGAGTTATATTAAATTTTAACAGTTTTAATATTTTAAATTAACAGTTATATTAAATTTTCTCATTGTTTCTTATTACTATGACTACAAATATAAACAATAGGTCACGTTTGATAATTCTGTGTTAGTTTAAAATTTTTATTTTCTGTAATAATTAAAAAGACTCATATTTACTTATGCCAAAATTATTAATTAAAATTACTGTTTATTAATTAATATTAATTATTTAAATGTATTATAAGCTTAACATTTCGTGTAACTTTTGGTTCTAATAACTTAATAAATGTATTCGTTCTTAAGACTGAATTGGCTACTTTTAAAGGCACATTTTATAATTGCAAAAAAAAATTTTCTTTTGTCTATATTTGTGTATTATTTTAATTTTATTAATTATTATTTTCATGTTATATTGAAGTATAAAGGAATTTAAGATCTGAAATTTGATATACGCCTTTTTTGGGCGTAAATAAAATAATGCCAAAACAAAAATATGTATTCTTTGTACTCATTGTAAAAATGTTTATCATGTAACATTTTTAATTCTTGTAACTTTGTAAGATTGTAATTAGAATATTTATGCCTTCTCGCAGTTGCTCTTCTGTGATTGTTAATGGTGGCGATATCCTAATAATTTGACCGTGTGCAGGTCTTGTCAACAATCCAGCATCTCGCAGCTTCAGACAGATATCCCAACCATCAGCAAATTCTATAAATAAAAGATTCATCAAATGTATCATACATCAAATGTATCATACATAACAAGATTCAATGTTTTTTATGTACAAGGTGTATTGGAGTTTTGGAAAGTTCTGAAGGTAAACTACATAAATATATAATAAAAAATGGGTGTTTTTATTTAAAAAATTCACAAAGTGATTTTACGTGACTTTGATAGTGTTTGTCATCATACTAATATTATTATGTAATGCGCTACTTAAAACCCTACAAGTTTGTCCGAACCATTTTTTTCTAAATGCATTTATGAAATATTCTACTGTTTCCAGACTTTTGACACAGCTTATATGTATACACACACACGCGCACGCACGGTATTCGGCAACAGGTAGGATATACAGTGACCGGCAAAAGTAAAAAGCCACCTCATCTATAAGACTGGTTTGTTTCATAAAGGTAAAAAATGTTATAGGTTTTTATAATTGGAAAAATTAAGGAGATTCAACACTTTTTGTACACCCTGTATAATACAAAAAAAGGAAGGTGTTGTTTGATTTATAATCTATTTATCACTTTATCATACTTTTTCGTTTAAAGATATTGACAATGCGGAATAAAGTCGCAAGATATGATTCGAAATTTACGTACGCATCAACAAGTATTTTATCTTTGTCTGTATCGCGTAACAAAGTTTTAATTTGTCGACGAGTTATCAAATGATAGCTTAATTGGTTCATGATACCTTTGTTGATGACTAGGCCAGCCAAAAGACCACGTCCACGAAATTCTGTCGCGATGTTCTTTGGCAGTTTATTTAATTCTTCTTTCAAAATATACCCAAGTTTTTTTGCATTCTCCGCCAAATTCTCTTCTTCCAAGATTTTAACCGCCTCCAGGGCAACCTTATTTCCGAGCGGACTACCACCGAAGGTACTTCCATGCGAACCTGTCTCCAGACAGAGCATTATCTGAAAAGACAATTAATGTAGATTTTAAAAGACTAAACGCAACGCGCGCTTTGCGCGTGCCATTAGTATGGTTTTTTTAATTTTATAATTGTCAAGTTGTTACATCTTCGCAATGCAACGTTTTGTTAACTTGTCAACGAATTGTTTGATACTTTCATATTTACATCGCAGACAATCATGCGCAGAATAGCGAATAAGCAGAAAAGCGTGGCAAAAGGATTATTTTTACCATCGAATAGGGACAAATTTAATTTATTACATAATACTTTGTACGCCGAATATTACGCGTCCATAATAAGTTGTTAATCTTCGCAATGCGACAGTTGTTTGATACTTTCAATTTAACAACAAAGCGACTCGCGATAAACAATCAGTACCGCAGAAAAGCGACAACAATACTTGGGAGAATGCCCTTTTTATAATTTTAATTCTCGAATTTCTATTATGTAAGTATTACATAATTTAATTTATCGAATATATATTATGTACATAATTTTAATTCGCCGAATTGATATTACAAACAATTTTAATTCGCCGAATTATATACATAATATAAATTCACCGAATTTCCATTATATACTTAATATTAATTTGCCAAATTTCAATTGTGTACATAATTTTAATTCCCAAATTTCTATTATATACATAATTTTAATTACCGAATTTTTATTATATGTATGTACATAATTTTAATTTTTCTATTATATATATAATTTTAAATCATCGAATTTCTATCATGTACATAATTTTAATTTCCGAAAATCTATTATGTACGTAATTTAAATTCGCCGAATTTCTATTATGAACATTTTAATTCGTCAGATTTCTATCATGTACATAAATTTAATTCACCGAATTCATATTACGAACATAATACAAATTTATCGGATTTCCATCACGTATAATATAAATTTATTGAGTTTCTATTATGTACATAATGTTAATTTGTCAAATTTCTATTATGTATATAATAAAAATATAGGAATTATAATTATGTATATGTAATAGAAAGGTGAATTAAAATTATGTATAACTTAAATAATAGAAATTCGAGAATTAATATTATGTACATAATAGAAATTCGATGATTTAAATATGTGTTTGTACATTTAAGAAAAATTTGGTAACTAAAATTATATACATATACGTAATAGAAATTCGGGAATTAATATATTATGTACGTAATAGAAATACGGTGAATTAAAATTATGTACATAACAGAAATTTGGCGAATTTTTATGTGCATAATGGAAATTCGGCGAATTGTGTATAATATAATAATTCGGCGAATTAAAATTATGTATATAATGGAAATTCGCTTACTTACATTTTGCTCTGCTGTCCTCTTGACAATAGCTTTAGATTGAATAGCAGCAAATGCATTCCATATGAAATTAAATATTATCTTCCGAATGTGTACAGAATACGTGCACGCGCGCGCGCGAATGTAGTACGAAAAATAATTAATATCTTAATATATTTATATAAAATTTATATATAATTTTTATTTTGAAAACTGTTAACCCTATCAACAGCTACTCGATGCTGACGTATAACGACAAATCGAGACAAACAATCAGCATCGCGGAAAAGCTACGACAATGTCAAGAACATGCCTTTTTTAGAAAGGGGACTTTTGTCGAAACGATCGTAGTATAGTATAGTATATACTTTAGAGCTTCTACGCGTTATCATATTTACATAAAAAACTCACATTAATTCTATATGAATTGATAAAATCAACTGGTTTCCTCATAGATTTTGTATTTTATAATCTACTGAACAAAAGATGTAATAAATTCAAAGCTAAATAATGGATAATTACTGACTCCCTTCGCCCCCTCAAATTATAGTCAATGATTTACAATGTCCAAATTTTTTGTATTTAATTGATAAATTAATAATTGTCCATTTAATTTTGAGTTTATTACATTTATTATTCAGCAGATTATAAGCTATAACCCCAAATGAGAAATATTTTTATCGACTCTCAATATTAAGAATAATATATGATATTTTAAATCGGCCAATAGAGCCCATGCGCGAAAATAACATATGAAAAATAGCTGATTTTTTTGAAGAAATTCAATTTTATATAAGATTAGTGCGGCGTTTTTCCAACAAATTAAGATGCGTAAATGAAATCATAATTATTAAAATGTTTTATATTTTGTCTAAAATTATACATATATAATATTAAATAAGAAACAAAATGTGGACGAGTGATTTTAACGGCTACAATAAAGTTTCTTCTTTTAAGATTCCTATATAGCTTCTCGCCGCGGACATGGACATTGTGACGTCAGAGCGCGAAAGCATACGCTGAAAATTCTTAGATGCCATTTTTTAATAAAAGATATTTCGATGAAACTATTTCAGATGACTTTAGCACACTTGTAAAATACCTCGAAAACTATACGTACTTTTCCTTTGTCAGTCAATCAACAACCATAAAATGATCCTGATATCAAACTTTATTATGCGGAATAATTGCGCATGTGCAAGGACCAAACGGACTGGTCCTTTCGTATTACAGTCATTTTATAGCTGTTGATTGATTATAAAGGAAAAAGCTAGTTTTCGAGGTATTTTAAAAGTGCTAAAGCCATCTAAAGTGCTGTTTCATCGAAATATCTTTTAAATGGCATCTAAGAATTTTTAGCGTATTTTCTCGCCTTTGACGTCACAATAAATGTAACGAGGTTGGCGAGAACCCAGGAGCCTTAAGTTTTACCTCATCATCTGCCAGAACGCCGGAAACCGGGTACATGCCACCAGAAAGTGCTTTCCCCAAAATAAGAATATCCGGTCTACAGTCTTCGTAATCGATTGCCATACGCGTACCAGTTCTGCAGAGGCCAGTCTGCACCTCATCGGCGATCCATAAAACATTGTATTTTGTGCACAGTTCTCTTACACGTTTTAAATAGCCATCCTGAACAAAATAGAAAGTCAAAAGAAAAAAAATAATGACTATTTGCAGAAAAGTAATTATATTACTCATCTCTTTCTAAATTTTTAATAGTTAGAAAAGGTACTCGAAAAGCAGTTTTTTGTTTTTGTTTTTATTTAGCAAAGAAGCAAGATACTTCGAATCACAAGACTTTTTTCAACATTTTAATGATATATCTACGGCAAAATTAAACAATGGCTTATTGTTATACAATATTCACAAAATCTTTGCATCAACTTACATTTGGCACCACTACACCGGCTTCTCCCTGAATAGGTTCTACCATGAACGCACAGATATTAGGATTCTCTTCGAATTTTTTCTCCAAAACGATCGGATCGTTGTATGGCACTTTCTCGAAAAGGGGTACGTAAGGACCGAAATCAGTGTAGCAGTTTGGATCCGACGAGGCCGACAGAGCCGCTAATGAACGGCCCCAAAAATTTCCGTTAGCAAACACAACGGTAGCCTTGTTGCTCGCTATTTTCTTTACTCTGTAGCCCCAGCGTCTGGCCAATTTTATGGCTGTATCGCCACCTTCGACACCTTGTAACCGATAAAACAAATGATAGAGTTTCTATAATTTTTACAATATCTCTAAATTAATTTTATCCAATAAATTAACAATAAATATTAGAAAATTACATTTTTAGTAACTTTCTTTCTTCTTTTATATAATTGAAAATTCATATAATAAAGAGTGTGATTTTAAAAATCTACATCTACAAAGGATAATGCTCAAAATCAGGGAGAGAAAATAATATCGGCGTTTATTAATGAAATATAGGTATTGTCGATAGTCTAGTCTAGTAAAACAAAGTTGTAATGGTCATAACTCGATTGATGCATGGAAGTCAAGAGTTTTACAGCAAATACGAAAAAAAATTGTAATAAGATTCTATAAAAATTTTAACTATCAGGCTAAAAGTATACGCACAAAATATATTTTCTGACAATATTACATCTAAAAAATTTGAAAAAATAGGTCGCAACTGTCAGATGTGACGTTCATAATTTTTAGAACAAACAAAATTGAATTTAAAAATATTTTATGAAATCTTTCTTTTGAATTCTAATACGCACTAGATAATGTCAAATTCATCAAAAGGGTATAATCTCAACCTTCCCATTAAGTTGTGAAAACTCGCATCTATGTACAAAATAATAAAGTAAAAAAATGCTAATATCCCTATCGGGTTAATGCATGGATTATTCGCCATGACAATTTCAGTTTTTACCGGAAGCACTTTGCGAGGCTCAGATACAGTTCAAACCCGGAAAGCAAAATGCGCGCAAATTATTAGTAGATTGGCGACAAATTTCTACAAAAGTTGCTAATAGATCGGCATCTATTATTTTCGCAATTTGTTTACGATTTGCTAGCAGAACCTGCTTACAGAATCTGACAAATTGGCAGATTGACGTCAGAAACCGAGAAAAGTCTTGGGATCAAATTGTGTACGCACAGATCCTGTTCGGTTTCTGGTGACAATCTGACCTAAAGTCATGTTAGATTCTGTCGTTAATTTGCTGTCAGATTCTGTGAGCATAATTCGGCTCGATTTTTGACACTAATTTGTTGATTACACCAGTAATAATTATTTCTGCAACAAATCTGTAACCTTTTTTATGATAACACTTGATATCAAACACTTGGTATGATTTGATATCGGCAGACTTTGCTATCTGGGTGATATTTCTTAAGTCTGTTGCTTGCCGTCATCACGAAAAAGTTTCCGTTGCAAATAACCCACTTTTGTAGTAACATTTTCATATTTGCTTTGTAACTCTTAACCTTATGCACCAATCAAGTTATGACCATCACAACTTTTGTTCCATTAGGCGAGATTTATCTAAGGACATTCATATTATTGATGGGCGCCGAAAGCCAGATTTTGGCATTCTCCTTTCTTATTTACCTGAAATTTTAAACAAAAGTATCCAGAAAATCAGGGAATTTTTTTACAAGATTTAAATAGACACCTTCTATATATAAAAAGTTTTAAAAAATTGTTAATAAATCTGCACCTGTATTCATAGGTAAAAACCGATCCCATCCGAGAAGTTTTGTCAGATATTCTCCTAATTCTCCATGAGGTTCCGTATAGAATGCTCTTGATGTATGCGCCAGCTTTCCAGCTTGTTCTCTCATGACTTTCACTAGTCGTGGATGACAGTGGCCCTGATTGACGGTCGAGAATCCCGCTAAAAAATCAAGGTAACGCTTTCCATTGTTGTCCCACAGATAGACTCCTTCTCCACGGGTTAGGACAACCGGTAGCGGTTTGAAGTGTATACCGCCGTACTTGTTGTCGCGGTCAATCACTTGCTGGGTACTCAAGAATCTCTTCTTATCTGATTCTCTTATAATATTGAGGAACTTCTGCCTTATGGATTGCATGGTTATATATTTTTTAATCCTGTTTATAGTCCATAAATATATACACGTTAATAATGTACGAATCTTTCTGTCTATTTTAGATTATTATATCTTTATAATAAGTTAAAATTAATAATTCATAAAATCAAAATAACAATTTAAGAATAAGTTGTATAATTATATTAAAAAAACAATTGCTATTAATTCTAACAATAAGTGAAAGAAATTATTGCACAAACACATACACACATATATATTTACCTCGTGATTAACATAGTATTTTTACATACAGAAGAGAGAAAGAATATTACTAATATAATATATTAATATACACAGAAAAAATACCGTCTTTTTTTTTAACGCGAATAGGAATGTTTAAAATGCCGAGAAATAGTCTGCAAGCAATTCCGTCAATCTTGCTTTTATATCCAGTTGGTAAAAGATACGGTAAAAGATATGATTACTTATTTACTGGCATTGTACATATAAGCATTGCGACAGGTATAGCAGATTTAAAATAAATACCGTTACAAACAAAACCATATCAGATAAAGAGTATAATACTGACAATAAAAGGAATAAAGGCGCCACAGTGCCAAAGTAAATGAGTAAACAATAAACAATAATTTGAGATAGCTTCTACATATATCAAAAATAAAATTATTCAATTTGAAAAAAAAAAATGTATTGTAGATACAGTTTTCAATTATTATTGTCAACAGGTTAATATGATAGAGTAATTATGTAATATATGTAAAAGAAAATTAAATATGAGATCAAATTTTGGAAATATAACACTTAAAAATGGTGGATTATGTATTTTATATATTTTACTAATTCGGATTCATTGAATAATATAATACATGTATTTTTATTGGCTTCTACATTAAGAATACCTGGAGAAAACAAAATTATTCAAGTTGAATTAAACTCTTCTATATTAATACAATTTCCAAGAATATTTTTATCATTGTCAAAAAGTTGATATATGTGATCATATAATATATATAAAACAAAATTAATTTAAGATCAAATCTTGGAAATATAAGACTTTAAACAATTTTGGATTATATGTTTTACTAAATTGCGTTTGTTAAATAATATAAATATATTTTTATATAAATGTATACTTTTATTTGTTAAAAATATAAAAAACGTAATATTTAAGAATAAAAATAATAAAAAGGAAAAAGAAGAAGATACATGTATTCGCATTAACAAGATACGCATTATTAATCAACTATTAATTGAATTTATAAGTGATATAAATTAAATGAAGTATATTAAAGCTAGAAAAATAGACATCTTTTTTATCAAATATAATTCATCTACTATTCTGTATGTTTTATTACTTATTAGTTCTATGATCCTGTAGAAATAATAATTTATATAATTAAGTGGCATCCCAGCAAACACCGATATATAATTGTTACATTGCTATAATAAAACGGAATATAACAGGTAATATAACGTGTACGTTACATGTAACATCCATGTTAGTTGTAATTTCCCACTCATAGGTGTAACATTTTTAATATAACATAGATTACATTGTGTAGTTATATTGTAATTATATACCAAATAGCACATTGATGTATTGATATAAGTCAATGCTATCTTGGGATATAATATGACAATATAACTACAATGTAATATATGTAATATTAAAAATGTTACATTTATGAGTGAGAAATTACAACTAACATATACGTTACATGTAACATGCTTGAGTATATAACATTTATATACTGTGTGTTTGCTGGGATATATCACGCAGATAACCACTTCACATACATTATTATTATAAACATATTATTTTAAATTTAGTTTCTCATTATTTAATTAAGAATGAGAAATAATTTAGCGGGATAAATAAATTTATTATGAAATAAGACACATACATATATATAATAGTTTCATAAATTTTATTATTTAAATGTCGATTGTGCAACGACGAGGTTACAAATATGTATATATTTTTCGATAAGTTTTATCTCTCGTATTATTGCTATTCTCTACGCAAATAATGATGTGTTAGCATGCTAACACATCATTATTTGCGTAGAGAATATTTTATCGTATTAAGCTATTAATAGCCGAAACATGATAAATCACATACAAGCACACATATATTCTCTCTCTATATGTTATAGTCTTTATCATTATTAAAATAACAATATGATTTAAAATGATTTTCTTTAACATAATCGAAAACATTATCATAAACAAGACCAACATTAATGATCGTATTATCACATATTGCACTTATATGTACGCCGCGTTTAATTGTATCTGATGAATAAACATTGGTAAACAACATTCATAATTTGAAATATGTATTTATATATATATATGTGTGTGTGTGTGTGTGTGTGTGTGTGTGTGTGTGTGTGTGTGTGTGTGTGTGTGTGTGTGTGTGTGTGTGTGTGTGTGCGTGCGTGCGTGTGTGTGCGTGTACGTGTGCGTGTGTGTGTGTATACGTCAATGTATACTCGTTTAATCTTCGCAATATATTGAGAATTATTGATTAATTTCCATCTGTCAAAAGATCGAATTTTTTATTGATATAGCACTTGTATATTATAGATTAAGATATATTGCATGGATATTATAAAAGTCGAGACAAACATTATATTTTGTTTACACGAAGTTTTATATATGAAGTATCTAGATAGCACACAATATTTATGATAAAGATTTATAAATATTTATGAATATATATTTTTTTCAATATTATATAAATATTTTGGAAATGTTTTATAAAAGCCTTTATTTAACATTATTAAAACATAGATTAAATATTTCATATAATATTTATGGTATGTAAAGATAAATATTTATAGTAATTATTTTGTAAATATTTTTTAACTAAATTGTTAGTTCTTTTATTTAACGCTATGTGACGTACGTATCTTTCTCATATTTGATTTATGTCGTGAGAATTATTATATAAGGCTGGTAAAAATGGAAATTAATAAAATTAAAAATGTCAAAATTATTTCTATTTTTGAGCTACATTCTGAAACAGAATGTCTTTTAACAATAAATTTACATATATATCGATGTGTACGTAAATTTGTTAAACTACTGTGTTGCTTAAGTATATTCAGCATATATTTATAATTTTATAAATAATAATCCTTAAGGTTGCCAGTAATAATTAATAAAAAACCACTCCTCAATGTTTAAAGTCGACCAGACTGGCAATAATTTATTATAAATAATTATTTGAAATACAACAACGTTTCGGCTGTCATTGCAGCCCTTTTCAAGTACATCAAATTTTAAAACAGTAAATCAACTTCTATGCAACTACCACTACCGACAATGTTAACGCTTGTTTTGATGAACATGCAAGACTGACAGAAGTAAGCACATATTAAATAGATGTTAACTGTTCACAAGAATCTTAGTCACTAGTGACTAAGATTCTTGTGAACAGTTAACATCTATTGACACTTGAGTGACTAAGATTCTTGTGAACAGTTAACATCTATTTAATATGTGCTTACTTCTGTCAGTCTTGCATTGTTCATCAAAACAAGCGTTAACATTGTCGGTAGTTTGTATAGAAGTTGATTTACTGTTTTAAATTTGATGTACTTGAAAAGGGCTGCAATGACAGCCGAAACGTTGTTGTATTTCAAATAATTATTTATAATAAATTATTGCCAGTCTGGTCAACTTTAAACATTGAGGAGTGGTTTTTTTATATTTTATATTCTATTTTAAAATAAATGTCTAATAAGTTACTTATAAACATTTTTTATACATTTTTAATTTTTTATAAATGGCTAATAGAGTTTGAAAAACACAAAAACATATAATCGACCAAATTTTAGATTAGATCAACCGATCTCTCAATTTTAAACTATATTAACTGATCGTTTTGATTAAAAAATCGTTGATTATGTCTTTTTTAACTCCCCAGATAGCCAAGCGTTCCTTGTCATAAGAAAGAAAATCGTTGCTTGGCACAAGTTTTTATTCAATTGTCATTATGTTGCTATCATCGAAATAATAGTAATTCGTTTAGGTTGGTTAACATAAAGTTATGTTAATTGGACACAACTAATTGGATTAAGATTTTAGGTAGAAACTGTTTTTCGTCAAGTTACTCTGTAATTTTCAATAATCTTTATATAATCGGTTTCTTAAGAAAGCAACTGTTGCTCTCCAGTTGCTCACAATTGTCGATAGCAATAACAATCGATAATCTAATAGGCAAGTCAGAAGCCGCTTTTCAGCAACTTGTGGACAACTTGCTATTTGGGTCATGATTCTCACTGAGTATATTTATTAAAAAAATATAAATTAAAAAAAATCTGTATCATAATGATTTAATAAATATATTTATATTTACCACAAATATTATAAATTTTTCTAATATTTATGATAAATACTTATTGTGCTTTGTGGGTAGATTATTTGTAAGAGAACGCAGTAAACATATATATAATGTACTGATGGTAAACAAATTTACTTTTAACAGGTTTTATTTAATTTTTGCATTGAGATTTTTCGAAAGGCTTCTTTCAAAAAATGTTTTATGTAATATATAAAGTTGTAGATTTCAAGGAGAACGTTCTGTTGAAGTATATATATATATATATATATACCCAGCAAACACAGATATGTAATTGTTTACATTGCCATAATAAACGGAATGTAACAAGTAATATACGTGAATGTTACATGTAACATTCACGTTATATTACTTCATGATATTGCAGCTATATAACCAAACCATAACACATAATTAAAATGTAATATCAAGAGACACGGTAGTGTCTCGCGACCAGTTAAGGGCGTAGCGGAGACAACCGTGTATCTTAACGCGAGTCGGACATTTGAGTCTTTATAATATTTCGAATCCTCAATAATGGCTGAAGCATCGAGTTTATACTAGACTTAATCGATAGATTGAGTTCGAATTATATAATAAAAGTGTCTTTAATTTCTGCTCTACGTGATTTGTAAGCAGAGATATATAATGCAAAGTCGAAATATGAAAAATTTCTATTAAGAAACGTCCCCGTCCATCATTATCATCATTATCATCAT